GTAGGGTTTTTTTCCTTTCATTTATAACGCATTTTCGCAGAGAATTATTTTCAAAGTGGCTGTGAGCTACTGAAGCAAAAATTGATATTTGTTTCAAGTATCTATCAATGGGGGATTTAAAATATTCCTTGTATTGGAAATTGCTTACCAATTTGCTTACCAGATCTGGAAGCTTTAAAAGAAATTCAGTCGAATTTGATGCTCTTCAAAGAACACAGAAAATTATCCCAAAAAGGCTTTTGAATAAAGGAATAAAGAAACCTAGATTAAAATTTAACCTTGAGCTAGAGCTTATCGACCTTCGAACAGCTGGGCCCAGAAGAATTGAATTTTCCCTTTTATCAAACTCTGCGAGATAAAAGGCAAACTTAGTTTGAAAACAGCGAATTCCATAAGGATTATGAATTATTAGAGAAGAGGGTTTAATATTCATTTCTCCTTAGACCTAGAATGTCAAAATTATAATTATAAGTTTCATAAGATACTGATGTGCTGAGCAAGTGGAACATATTATAAGCTAGAAATTGACAAAACAAATCCTTTGCTTCTCACAGGCTGGCACCTCAATGTGAATTAGTTATATGAGAAAAAATATATATAGCGCAAGTTCTTCATTTGACTGTATCTAGTAGCTAATATCATAACAGTCGAAAGAACATTTTGTTTAATTTTAAGACCATGGTGCTACTCTGCTTTTTAGCGAAAGAAGAATTTTTGCCACTTTTCACATCAAAAAAAAATTAAACAGGTAATGTACGCCTCTTTAGTTTAGGAAGAAACGTCTTGTTCGACATTGGAAAAGGAAATGTTTTAATTCAGTTCTTCCTTATCGTTTTAGCATTTTAGGGGCAATTTATTTGGTAGTGAATGTCAGAGAAAAACGGTAAAAATCACTTATATTTCCTTATTATCTTAAACGTAACTTAGATTTAGAAACTATTTAGTAGATCGATTTATTTTAAAAATTGCAGTTGAAATCTTTAATTGTAGATGTCGATGTATTTAGTTAGGAAAGTTTATTTGTTGGAAGAGCTCGTTTCATCGTAGATCATAATTAGGGTTGTTATCGTTATTTTAGAGAAATTTTCAATAGAGAGTCGAAAGTAATCCAAGATTGCATCGGTTTAACTCTACTTCGTTCTGTAATTGGTCCAGAAAGCTCGTGTCACTTTCTCAACCAATTAGATGTAAAAGTAACAACAATCATGACTTGGTCGCCCGCGTTTTCCCGCGCTTTAGGCAGTCTGGTTGTTTTTACTTCGAGTTCGCATCTGCTTGTAAAGATCTTTTTCTTTCCTCTGATTGATTGCTGTGATTCCTTTTGTTTTGCTTTAACGACAGGCAATCAAAAAGCACTCGATTGAAAAATAAAGGTTAGAAAGTGAGAATCACTCCTAGACTGGTCATTCTGTTTATTAAACTTTTCATTTAGCCTACGCCTGCAACTAATTCATTTTTCGTCCTTTGATAACATTATATGTTTGTCAATCACTGAAGGACAAGACCAAAATGACAGAGACTGAGTTCTTGGGGTGTTAGTCAGGACTTTAGGCAAAATTGTTTTTTATCCAAGAGTCTTATCGCTTGGCTTCTATCTGAAAGAGATTCCATTGCGAAAACTTTCTTCGATCGTATCAAATTGATCAAAAAGGTCTACCGAGGAACATTACAATTTCCCTTTTCAACCATTAAAAGCCACGAAACGTCCACATGAGGTTTTAAAATTTTATAACCAGCAGTAACGCAATCTTGTTAGCCCCAGATTTCCATCACGACAAAATCGAGTAACCGTTTTTTCGTTAATTGTTAACAAATTGAACATCTCAGTAAAGGCATTACTTTTTTAGGGTTTGAGGAGATACGTTGATTGCTGTTTCAATTCAAGATAAAAGAATATGAAGCATCTTTGCATAAAACTTTCCACGAAAGATACTTATTAATTTACAGGTTAACAAAGGCAAAAAATTGCTAAGGTCACCAGCGTCAGTATCGAAGTCAATTACGTGTAATAAGTTGCTTTAAAATCTCTTCCCAATTACCTGTATGCACATCTTTTGTTTCAAGCAGTCCCTTTCGCTTTACCATGACAACATAAAATATCATTTAAGAAAAATTGAGAGAAAGTGAATCATGAGATCCATTAAGATGCCATGAATTCCTAGGAGGTTTTTGTGAGGATGGCAGATGACTTAGTCAAGATAAGGACGAAAAGATTTTGGGGTCAGAGGATTTTGGGGGGATCATAAGGCTCAGGTAGAGCGGAGGAGGGGGGGAGGGGCTCAATCATCGCCAACAGAGTGTTGGATTGTTTTGGTTATCTATTTTGAGCAACTCGCGTAAACGGAGGCAATAAGAGTCTGTTCAGGAGCTTTATTTCACTATCTGAGACTTTGTCTCTCTTCGACAAATTTAGCCGTAAGTGCGCTCTCTGAAATACCCTATCGGTAGGCATGGGTGGGTTCATGGGACAACTGGCCTTGGCAGAGTAAACATATTTGTAGAACGCTCACCAAAACTATCTCACAAGACATTCGAAATGAACAACAAGGTACCTAACAACAACCAATCTTCGACAACTGAACAAAACTTCCCGTTGAGGACTCTTAGCAAGGTCAAGAACAAACCCAAACACAACTAGCGATGGCGACTATCATACGAGAATTAAGCCCTCTATGTTAAAACCAGGAAGGAGGGGGCGTCTCCGAGGTTAATATTGGTCAAATCACAACTGCCATTATGACATCACGCAAGCAATATGGTGGATAAATTTGTCATTCGTTATCTTCTGCGAAATTTGGAATTTTCAACCATATCGATAGGTTGATTCCTTAATCTTGAGGTATTTAAGATTGAGAAAATATGTAAGAGTTTTTTTAAGTAGTTGGAGTGAGGAGATGGTGTTTAAGAGCTTCACATTTAAGATGAAAACATATTACTTTGTGGCTTATTTGTCAGCTGAAAATGTTCGGTTGCTAATGTTTTTTCCCGAGGAGAAGCTAAAACACTTGTAAAAATATTTCCCTTTAAGGTATTTATTAACTAACAGGTTGACTAAGACAAAAACTTTTCAAGGTCACCAGCAATAAAGTCGAAATCAACTGGTTATTCAATCAGACTGAATGTAATAAGATACTTTAAAAGCTCTACTCTATTTCCTGTAGGTATTCACATCTTTTGTTTCAAGCAGCCCTTTCAGCTTTAAAGAAAGACATCTTCTATACGATGACAACATCGGATGTCACAAAAAATTGAGACCAAGTGAACCATGAGATCCATTAAGATGCCATGAATTCCTCTGTGGTAACTGTGACGAAATAGATTATGTAAAGTATTCAATCACAAAAATCTTAAAAGCCAAGAAGAACATAACATAGTGAAGAGATCACAACAGCAGTTGAGATAAGGCTGGACAGTTGCACCCCTCTGTGACGATACGGTGAAGATGAACTTTCTTGGTTTCGCTTTCCCCTTGGCATTGCTTGTAGCAGTTCAGCTAACCACTTTAACATGGGCTGTAACGAATGTGACAAAAACCTCAGGAAAAGGTAAAAAAGGTGTTCCCTTTATTTCCAATCCCTTTCCCACACGTAAACTGTATTCGTTGGATTAAGCGTTGCTCCCGAATAAGCCCTCTGGGACTGTAATTCAAACGCTAGCGGGCGCTAGTCTGTCTGAGGCACCCTTGGAACTTATTTTACGCGGAAATATTTTTCTCAGTCTCAAACGCTACAGTTCTTCAGTAGACACACATTAAAGGGCGGTAGTTACTTTTAAATTTTTGCAAACATAGAGCAAGCCTATTCAAGTGGTGGATTCTGTGTGGGTTGTTAATTCGATTCCGATAAAAGAAATAAACGTAAACCTCCACATATTGATGTTTGATCGACAAATTTTGAACTATGTATAGACAAAATTAAACTTTGAGTAACAGTATCTGTTACCTGCTGAAAATAATTTACAGTAGAACAAAAGAACTTATGATGGACTTTAATTTTAATTTGACGGAAGTTTTTTCTTAGAGGATTTTTTAGTAATTACCAGAAAATCGTTGCATCTTTAGGAGAAAAGAAAAACTGAGATATTTGGTGTACGCTTTGGTGGCCGAGCAAAGCGTAATTGAAAACTGAATTTTGTCTCGAGTTTTCATCGTTTGTTATTAATTTTGCGAGGATGGCAGATAACATAGCGAAAGTTAGATAAACGTTGACTAAACTGCAGAAGGTTACGCTAGTCTTCAAAGAAGTAAGTCAGTCCTCCAAAGAACTGAAAGAAAGAGAGAGCCTCCTTCCTCAAACTTTACGGTCACTTTTCAATTTTGGTCTTCATGGCCGATTAAACGTGTTTCAAAGATTTTTCAAATTTCTCCTTACCGGAACAATACATCATTAATTCTGCACTAGGAAGCAACCAACATTTATCGCATGGAGGGAGGGGGGGAGGGAATGAGGGATGGAAGAAGGATTTTGGAGCCAAAGTAATATTTTTTGGGGGAAGGTGGGCTCATATGGTTTTCAGGAGAATGAAAGGGGGATCAGTCGTTGCTTACAGAGTAGAAAAGGAGAACAATAGGAAATTGACTGTAAATGAGTGGGGATCATTAGAATACTACAAGCCCCCCCCCTCCCCTCCCCCTACCCTCCTTATTGCCAGGCGATAAATGACAGATTACCGGTTCATTGATTCGTATACGAAAACTCAATTGCTGTAGAGCTCATAGAGCTAACATAAAAATTACAAATGATCCTCTACTGCATTTCTTTCAAGAGTGTTTTATGGAAAGACAGATATTCTTACTCAAGGTCTAATTTTGTTCAGCAAAACAATTAAAAAAAACTGATTTATCAAATATTTAAATAGTAACTTTAATCATTGCCCTTGAATGAGAATCGAATGGAGGAATAACACACGGACCCCTAAGGAGGTAGTCGTCATCTTCATCCGAATGAAGAAGCTTTATGAAGGATAAGCATATAGCATAATTTTGAGAAACATGTGATAATATGAATAAAAAGACAACGTTTTCTTGTGTCAAAGATTATGATGAGCAAGGAAAACACCTGGGTGAACAACCAGTACGTCGCATGGTACCGGAATGCGATCTTAACACATTCTCATTGCGTGGTGGTAAACCGACCTTTCCAGAGCAGCAAGATGTCACCCTTCCCCTCTGCCCAGACAATCAATATGCCATTTTCTATAATAATATTTGGGGAATTGCACGGTACACACTTTACAAGATTGCCGCCGAAGATGCCGAGAAAGCCATGTCAAACCCAGTAGCAAGACCTAAAGGTGACCCATGGAAAAAAACTGAAGGTAATTAGTTTTGTTATTATAATTTATTTTTGTGATAAAGTAATTTAGGCATAAAATAAATTCGTTTCTCATTCCACTACTACAACGTCCGTTTGTTCGTGTTGTTTTCGTCTTTCACGCACTCGTTATGCGATCGATAAGATACTGAGATGAGACCGAATGTTTCGTAAACTTATATATATATATATAAATGTGGGGGTAGAGTCTACCTTGGCATAAAGTGCTCAATGCTGTGGTAGCAGAGCTGGGTATATATAAGTGAAAGAATTAAAGAGGATTCTTTCACTTATATATATATATATATACATATATAAATTGTTACTAGAACTCTCAGGCCAACAAAGGTGCACCGCGCCGCTGACAATCTCGTCCAAATCTCACAGCAAACACGAACGTAGAGAGTTTAAAAAAATGCGAGGATGGACAACTTCTGACGTAAAAAATATATAAAATTGAATAAAAACATTTCGTTCAGAGATCTTAGTAAATAACTGGAGAAGGTCATATATATACATGTATGTATTTTTATCTCTCTCTCTTTATATTTATATATAGATGGATAGATGGATAGATTGGTGGGTAGATAGATAGCTAGATAGATAGATAGATAGATTTTAAGCAGACATACATTTACATTATGCATCATTATTCTCTCACGCAATTTAAACACACAAGGGCAACGGTAGACGCGAAACATGTGACGATATTACACTGCAGGTACAAAGGAGCAAAAATACAGATGGAAAGAGGAGAAACTTGTGGGAAAAGTCATGTGTGATGATTTAATCATGTTAAGCAAATCATTTCTTTGACTCAACAGAGATCTTTCACTTAAAACATTTCGTAACTGTGATCGGGAGGGTAAGAACTTTATTTACCTAGCGGATAAATCGAGAACAAAACTTCTTGGCTTGTGAGTGACATCAGTGTACTTTACAACTCTCTCATCTTCAGGGACTCTTCATCAAGGAAGTGATGAATTGTATAAGAACCAACCTATCTCGTGTTTATACGACAAAGGCCACCTCGTTCCTGTTAATATCTTACGTTACAGCCTTGAAAGTGCTTATGCCACTTTCACCTACACCAACTGCGTGCCGCAAATTGCAGGTTTCAACAGAGGTCAGTGGAAAAAGTACGAAACGAAAATAGTGCAATATGCTCAGCACTATTGTGCTCCAAGTGGCGGAACTCTTTACCTGATCACTGGTACATCACAGGTTAAATTTGAGGAGACACTTAGTCCTGAAAACGAAATAATCGGGGTGGATAAGTCGGTGCAACCAATGGAGGCGTTCCATGACGACGTGGATACATACCCTCAACACGGACCAAAAATCTTAATTCCAAACTCGATGTGGACGGTGGGCTGTTGCTTGGGCTTGAATAATGAAGTCATGGGAGCGTTTGGTGTAATGGGTGGTAATTCTCTTAACCAACAGCTCTTAAATGAATTTATGATGCCCAGACAAACCGTCGCATCTGTTCAAGAAGCCCTTCAATTAGAGGATAAATCAATTAAGTTGTTTCCTAACGGCGGTGATTGCTATGATGAAAAAAAAAACGTTCAATTGAATAACATACGATTTTTTTATGTTCCTTGAAAGGCGTATGGGTAAAATTTTTGACAGGCGTATCAAGAAAAGCGGATCAGCTGAAAGTTGAGCAGGCTTTGTTTAACGATTAACAATGACCGTATATGGCTACTTTGGAACAATGGCGGAAACAGCTTTAAAATACACGCGGGATTTTTTAAAATTTCCGATTATCATACGAGCGGCAGATTTAAACCATCGGCAAAACTGATGATACGACAAATCCTCCCCGTGGGGGTGATTCTGGTAGATTTTTTTAGGATGCAAATAGTCACGGTGGGGTGGATGGTGGGGCGACTGTAGCTTTCGTATCTGAAGTAAAGAAATTTCACCGTTTTTTCCTTTACATTACATTGTGATCTATGCAAGATGCCCCTTAGATTCCGGGAATCTAAGGGGCATCTTGCATGAAATAACCAGATTCAGATCAATGCACAATTTTATCATATCTCAATTAATACGTGCGCTATAATTGGTCAATTGAAATTCAAAAGCTTTTTTAAATTGAAATCTACCTCCACTATTTGAACCCGGAGATATAATGAACATCTCAATAACTCGTTTTTCTCGGGCTGTACTGCTAGTTACAAACTCGGTTAGAAAGAGGTGTTTAGAGCTTTTATTTCCATCCTTTGTGTTCAAAATACGCATGCTACTTTATCTACTTAACAATGTATATTGTAACGAAGAAGTGGAACCAACGAATCAATAAACTGTGATCTAAGAAATTAAATGAAATTTAAGGTTGTCCCAAACATTTTGTCGAAGATTTGATATAACTGTATATCCTGATCTTTACTTGTTCACTGGATTTTTTTAGAGGCTTCGTTCACATTCGCATGAAAGTAATCCATATAACTTTAATTCATTTCTCCATTCGAGTGAGACATATCCCTAGGATTATTTTACTCGAAAATCATATAATCTAACCCACAGTAATCTTCAAATGAGTGCCTGAGCTTAATTACCGTGATGGATTGCTGTTGCCGCATTGCACTCTGCGATTGGTCTATAAACTCATGCGATCGTAACCTAGAGGCAGGCGAGCTGGCCCCCATTGTTTGCCCTGCAGCACGTGCACCCCTTGCCTTGCTGGTTTTTTCCTTTTTCTCACGACCTCATACTTACTTTGTCGTGGGCAAAGAAACTTCTATGCAGAAGCGCTGCTATTGACGGCATACTCGCAAGCTGTTGCCAATCAATCAACTAATCAGTTTCTAATCGTGGCGTTTACTTTCAGCTCTCGTAAACCTTGCAATTTTTACTTTGTTCTGTTTGGGGAATTACTTAAGTCTTGGTCTTACGTCACTTGATCAAAAACCGTTCAAATATCGATTGTGGGATTCCAATTGCGAATAAAACCTCATAATGAAATACAGTACGAAAACTTAACTAATCACGATTAAAATCAAATCTTAAGTTTGTGGACATCTGGGAATTATTTCGGAGAGTATCCTCACCAAAGGAGAGCTAAGTCCATTGCCAATTGATTTATTTAAAAGTTGAGAAAAAGATCAAACAAGAATGGTGGCGTTGATCAATTGTATGCTTACAGGAATTTGAAATAGGAACGATAACAATAATGATAAAAATATAGATTTAATCTTATTCTTCCAAAGGGACCTAGTCCGCTTGATTGCAAAGCCGTAGCTCCTGAGGAATATGGAAGGGTCTTTCCGAGTTGGTCGTAACTTCTGATAATAACTCCTTAGTAAAGTTTTCGAGAATGTCCGTCAAAGAGCCTCGACTTTCACATCTTTTTGCTCATAGTTATCCAAATTAAGGAATATTTTCAGGCTTTTGATCTTGTTTTCTCCACAAAATTTTCTCAACGAAACTCAAGTCACCACTGACACTGGGGATGAAATATGTGATAACTTTACATTCCAATTTACTCACCACAATAACGATAACAATGGCCGCGGTGCGAAGACAGAGGAAAAACTTTATAATGTAGTTAGACTGGAAGCTTAAGAGAGAATGTCCACTAAGACCGAGCGAAAATGGAAATTCGTGGCACTTCTCATAAAATCAAAATTTTTCATATATTCTCTGAAGATACCCTATAGTGGCTTAAGAAACGTGATAGGATGTTTTTCTAGTAATATCTTGTTAAACTTCCGTAAAATAAAAAAAGCTGTAACGAGCCAAAATGTCCTGAAAGGCATCCGAAAAATACGTGATTGGTACCTTCCCATAAAATTCCCCCTTTTGGATTCGCATCATAGAAAGAACCGTTTCGTGCTTTCAACATTGCTATTGAAGTCTTTGCAACTTGACTTAAATCTTACTCCAATGAATAAAATTTAAAGGTAAGCCGATGAAATTAATTACAATTCACTTTCGAATAATTTGTAACTTAGCATGTTTTTTTAAGGGAAATTTTTTGTACCCGATAAAACATCGAATAATTTGAAATTGGTATTCTTATGAGAATAAATGCTGGTCTAAAATGGGGTGGAAAAATTAGTTTCGGGCTTTTTACCAGCGCCGAGTAGGAAGCCTCTTAAAATAGCGGTTATCACAACAAAAGCGTGTCAACCGGAAGTCAACAAATAGCACATTCTCCACACCTGTAAGCAAACGATTATACAATTTTTACATTCTAATTAATCTATGTGGTCGTCAGTAATTTCCGTGAGTATTTTATCGCTAGTAGATTAGCCATCTCGGGTAGACATTTTAAAATTAGTGTCACCCTGAGCCGGATCAACTTACATGAGGTTGTTCAATTTTCCCAGCTTTTTTTTTCTACAACTAACCTATAAGAGCCTTTACAGATCAAAATAATTTGTTTTGCTTCGAGTTTCAAAGCAGTTTCTCCCAAAATGCTCTTTACAGCATTCAAACACCATTTTTCCCGAAATCTCTTATGCAATCGTGATCATATCTGTTAAGTCACGCAATGGTTACGAAGTAGATTTTACCACTGGACGTCATGATCTTTTAGAAGCAAAACAAAATACCAAGAAGCCACACAAATAGACGAAATCTAACGTCCCATTATGTAGATATACTTCCAAATTATCAGTACACGCAATGGGAATGTACAGCAGTCAGCAAGGGAACAGGGAACAGGGAACTTTTTCATGCTTTTGAGAAGCATGGAAAACTGAGACAGCGACACACGTTTTCCCAAATGTGAACATTGCAACCTCTTATACTCGTGTATTTTTCTCTCTTCTTTTTCATGGAAGCGGCGTTTCACAATCGAACTACAAAAGCGTATAGAAAAAAGTGTGATTACGCGATTGTTAGACCCCGAGTTTTTAACTGCATGAGGAACGAGAAGCAGCTAAAAAAGGAAACAGAACATTAAATTACTAATTATGTGTTGTGGGCCATTAGCTGAACTATTTAAGAGGGCTTTCAAGGAAACGAACAAATTGACGACATTTAGGAAAAACGATAGCGACCATTTCATTACATGGACAACCTAGTTCTCAGATTGGGGTGGGAAGAAGAGAAACCCTGGGAACGAGGTTGCGACATCAGTACATAAATGGTTCCAGTATTAGCGAAACGTATCTCACCTTAAAAGGCTTAAGAGACAGCTACTGGAACAAAATCGGAATCGAGTGAGAACAAGAGTAACCTTTTTTTTCCATCTCAGAAGCACATTTCATTAACACACTTCATTATAATCAGTCGTCGTCGTTAACAATCCTAGAGGGTATACAGGACGGCGACAAAGATTTTTCCCCCATACTCCCGACGAACTTTACAGCATGACTAAATGAAAGTTCTGTTAGAACAGTTAATTAACATTGGCTTAGCCACTCATCCCTCAACGCTGACATGCGCATTCCTCGCAAAGCGACTGCAGCTTTTCGATGTAGGGCTTGTTGCGCCCAACTGTTACATCTGAAAGGTCAACATCAAAAGAATTCCAAATGTCCTTTAATACAGCAATGGAAAAGTCACTCATCCTCTTCTGGGACGCCAGCTTTCACGAATTGTAGGCATCGTAAACAATTGGGTGTTTAGGTGTTAGCTCACGGACAGCCTCACCGACAATCTCGTCCAAACCGGCCTCAAGTGTAATAACTTCGATATCGCCTCGCTGCTCGTCATCCACAAGGGTTTTCTTCGAGGCAAGACGTGAAAAAAAAACCCTACTATTTGGTTAGTGGTCAGGAATTCGTTACTCTCAAACAACACGTTGCCAGTCGAATCCTTGGCACACATCATTGATCGTGCAACCGCTGCTGGATCTGCCTTACTTCTCCTCTCCAATTCTAAACTTTGCAGTCCGATAGGACTTCTGGTTTTGGTTGAGCATGGTTCTTCGTGACTCACCTGACTTAAGTGCTTAGCCCATTACCTGTCTGTTTGTGTCACTTACGGGCGAGCTGACTGCTCCGACAACCGGTACCAGCGTTGGCTGTCCCTCCAGGTGCTCTGCATACTCTAATGCAGCTTTGTCAAAAAGCGTCTCATGCTCTAGCGCACGTTGGTGTTTGCGACAGTCTAAGTGTTACATCATGTAGGAGTGCTTCAGGAATGACTTACTACATCCTTCTTCTGGGCATGTAAACAGTGCCTCGTTTGCTGTTGCAGGCTCTTCGTCGGTTTCCGTCTGGTCTCTGGTGGCATGGGTTTCACTTGGATGTGTTGTGGTAGTCCGCCCTTTCACGACGGAGGAGAAAGAGCTTGGGTGCGCCAGGAGTATACTTCCATTGACGGCAGAGTATCTGGTGATGGGATCTCAGCCTTCGGAGCAGATATCAGTTTCCCAGGTCCCACACCGTATGCTCTCCATACACGGATTCCCTCTATAGTGAGCTCTATATTTGAGAGTTTACTCACACCATCAATTTTGCAAGTGACCATTGGAGGGTTTGTGATAGACTCGCAGCGGGTGACACTTACGGAAGCCACTCCACCGGAAGAAAGAATAGCCTCAACCATCTGCGCGAGCTTCTCGATATCGATGCCAGAGTGTAAGTGAATGTGCATGTGTGACTTTGTTAAGGCTGCCTTACGATCACTAGCTCCTTTTCCACACTAGGGATCTGAAAAATCCAATCGTTGGTAGACCCGCTATGGTAGCAGCCAGCGTTGTCTTGGCTTTAGATCTGGCATGATGGTCTTGAGTTGTTTGATAACGTCCGCCATGACTGCGAGGACCGCACATTTGTCTTGAGTGCACCTCTGGAAGATGTGAGCGAAGGTTAGCATTTGAAGACGTTCGCTAACCTCTCTGAGGGCTACGCTGATGTGCCAAGTAATACCACGTTTGCAAAACCAACCGGTTTGGCTTTCTCGGCAAATATTTCATAGCCCAGTATAACTAGCACTGATGACTCTTCTAATGACTCGAGGATATCGATCCTTGCAGCATCTTGATTTGAGGAGCGTACTATGTG